CCGGTTGTTGCTAATGTGATTAAAAAAGGGTGAAAATATACTACAGGGACAAAAAGGTAAAACCCATCTTAAAGGACAAAAGGAACAAGGACAGATAGACACAAAAAATGAGAGGAAGATCTTATGTCTTTCGATAGTGATGATGATAGAGATCACGATAAGCCAAAAAAGGACAAAGAATCTCCTAAGGGTGTGTGCCCTCCTGTAAGGGAACAGAATCTTGAAATCGAAACTAGGAAGACAGAGCCGCCAAATTTAAAATTACAGCCTGAGGAGAAAATTTACCCCTTTGATTTAGAAGGAGCTACGCTCAAAGTTTAAAAATATATCCCGAACTACCAAAATCTCTTCAAGTTGAAGCCGATTATAATAAAGTTGATTGGGACAAACTGGTGGAGGAAGCCACTCATTATCAGGGCTGAGATGGGCTACCTGAGGTTAAGTGCTGTCCGCCATATAGCACAGATCCCAGGGCGCCTCCTTCAGCATGTTCGGCTTCTGACCCCAGAAAGGAATTAAAAGGCAAAATTGAACTTCTCAAAGAACAGATAAAATTAGAGAAAGAGCACCAAGACTTCATAATCCCATTAGAAAGGTTAAAATCAGGAAAACCCAACAATGAAAGTATAACCGGACCAAAGGCCCCCTGTGTTCAAAGGCCACCCATGAGGGGTGCTATCCCCAAAAGCTTCCTCCTGTTAGACCCACCCATAGATCTAGATAAGGCAGAGGTATTTCCGGTGTCAGAAACAACAGGTGCTCAAGGACAGATTTGGCGCCATTACACTAGTTTCGATTTTAAAGTACTCAAGGAACTAAAAGCAGCAGTTGCCCAATACAGAGCCACGGCTCCATACACCACAGCCATTTTAGAAACTGTGGCTGACAATTGGCTTACTCCTGGACTGGCAGGCATTAGCCAGAGCCACCCTCTGGGGGGATTATCTCCTATGGAATTCTTCCTGTATACAAGGAAGCTTCCACAATGATAGCTTCACTGTAGATGTTGGATTTGTTATCTTCACCAGCTGCAATCAAATATTTAACTACAGTAGCCCTATTTGCCAAAAAAGGGGCATGTGTTTGTATGTGGGGGAAGTTTAGCCTTCACATATTTACCTACCAACTGGACAGGACTGTGTGTCATGGCAGTTGTATTGCCTGATATAGATGTCATCTCTGGTAATGATCCCGTACCCCTTCCCAGTTTAGATTATGCTATGGGCCGCACAAAGAGGGCAGTCCAGTTCATCCTTTTATTAGTGGGGCTAGGAGTCATGGTGGCCATAGGGACAGGCACAGCAGGGTTGGGAGTAGCAGTATATTCTTATACCAAATTATCTAATCAGCTGATTGATGATGTTCAAACACTGTCTGGTACTATCCAAGATATCCAAGACCAGATAGATTCATTAGCAGAAGTAGTCTTGCAAAATAGGAGGGGTTTAGACCTTCTAACAGCAGAGCAGGGAGGGATCTGCTTGGCTTTACAGGAACGCTGCTGCTTCTATGCAAACAAGTCCGGTACTGTTCAAGATAAAATAAAGAGACTTCAAGAAGATCTTATTAAGAGGAGAAGAGAGCTATTTGAAAACCCTTTCTGGAGCGCATGGAATGGAGTACTACCCTACCTTCTCCCCCTATGGGGACCCTTGATTGGACTATTAATACTTTTATCAATAGGACCCTGTCTTTTCAATAGGTTGATGAGTTTCGTTAAACAACAATTGGATGCCATTAAAATGCAACCTATACAGGTCCATTACCATAGGCTTGAGATGGCCGACAGAGAAAGCTGTGCTGAACTCGAAAGAGTACACTGCGATGATGCCCAATCCGGGTAAAGAGATTTTCTTACCTTGGTGCGATGGACTGGATAGCCAGAGACGGGCAACTAGAGGCTCACATGCGGTACCGACCGCCACCTAAGACAGGAACTGGGCCTTCCGCTGCCCTGCTTTCCTATGACAGGAAAGGTCTGGTTCAGCCCCATGTGAAAGCATCTTGACCCAAGACAGGCACAGTCCCCTCAAGGAG